GAAGAAGAAGAAGAAGAAGAAGAAGAAGAAGAAGAAGAAGAGGAAGAGGAGGAGGAGGAGGAGGAGGAGGAGGAGGAGGAGGAGGAGGAGGAGGAGGAAGAAGAAGAGGAGGAGGAGAGGCATACACACATAGCTCACAATGAGTTAAAATCTTGTAAGTACTTTAAAAAATTAATTATCAGACACAATAAGATGTACCAGACCTTGGAGCTGAAAACAAGGTCAGCCAATATCTCAATGCACTTGGCTTTATCCTTGTTTCTTAGTTACATCTGCAATCGCTTGCGAGATAAGGAATTCAGCTGGGGTCATCCTGTCCTTTCTTTCATGTGACCCAACTATCCATAGCCAATCTTTTCCATCTAATGACTTCTTGTGTGCCCAGATGTCCAAGAAAACTTCTTCTCCACCCCACCCCTCTTGAAAACAATTTTTGCCCTTCACTTGCAAGTCAATGCAAATGGAAGCATTTTTGTCGAATGGTTTGCCTGTAATTAGTTGATTGAGACTTTTTAAAAAGTCAGCACCCATGGCAAAAAAAAAAAAAAATATCTGTAAAAGAGGGAGTTAGCTTTGTTTTGAGAGCTCCTTTTTTTCTTTCTCTTAAATCATACCCACATTTTTTTTTCCAAAGAAAAAAGCCCATGCTTTTCGAAGACTGGTTAAAACAGACCTTCCTAAAAGTGTCTTTGTTTTTAAATGGGATAACATTGCTTTTCTGCAAGGTGACATTTCCTTGTCATTATGAAGAGAACACATGAAATCATAAGAAATGAAACTCTTTTTTTTTCTTCTTTCTACTCAAGAGACACACATTGTGTTTTGGTTTTCCTTTTCAAGGGGAACCCATCTTTTAATCTCGTCATAAATGTAAACATTAATATTTGCAAACACTGTTGAGGTTTTAACGTAGGAGCTTGCAACTGGGAGAACCTGGAACAATTCTTGTCTGCCTGATACTTATACTGCTGTCTGTTTTATTTTTGAGGTACAGAAAATTACTTCATCTCAACAATTGCAGGGTCTTCCCTTACTCTGCATATCGAAAATCTGTCAAAAGTTGGCCATTGTGTGCAGGGAGTGGTTTCTCTCCCCACCCCCTTCTTTTACCCAGCAAAACAATCTTGAAATCCCATCACAACCTTTTCCTCACAATTTGATCTTGGGAATGGCAAGAAAAGATCTGTGCCTTACATCCAGTCATAAGAAATTTCACGAGCCTTCAGTTCTGATCTGGTCTCAGGACTCCAGAGAGGAGGGTTGCCATCAAAACCTAAAAAATAAGTCCAGGTCAAAGAATCTTCTAATGGTTCTCGATCCATCAGTGAACCTGCCTTGCTGTGATGAACAGATGCCGAATCATCTGCATTTCATCATCTCTTTTCATTCTCCACAATGCCCAATCGTGTCTCAAGATCGGTGGCATTGTGGAAAAATCAAAGGGTGCCAACATCCAGCCTGTCTAGAACAAATTTTCCAGCAATGAGGGGTTCAAAGTTCAGGATGCAAACTGGCCATCTGCCTGTTTCTTCATGCCAAGTAGAAGGTATGCTGCTCGTGTCGTATATAGCACACTGGCTGTGCCCAACACAGAAATGGGATTATCTTCAGGTACGTCTTGTTCTCTCTCTCTCTTTTTTTTTTTTAAAGAATGAAATAAAAGCACATGATGTCCCCAGCACTGCCCTCTGAACTGAGGTGCCTATCACCATAGATGATGGAAGCCCTGCAGGGCCCATCTTTGGAATGTAAGAAATCGTTCTTCCCATACTTTGGTTTCCCATTAACGCAGCCCTGTTGCTTCTTCTGAAATGAAAAGCAGCATGAAAAGTCTTTCTGTTCAAGGATATAAGTTCTTCCCTTCGGTGAGGGTTTCTCGAAGGAGCTTTTGCTTGGCTATATACTCACAGCTGAAGACGCTCATCATGGAAGTTTCACCACTACGACACAGGCACCAGCTCTTCCGACATTGACTGGCACTTCCTGTAAAACAGAGAAGACCTGGCTTAGATCCTTGTCTTTTAGCAAAAAAAATTATTTTATTTTATTCATGTATTTATCTGCATACTTTCAAACTGTTCTGACCCAGCTCCCCAAACACATCAAACCCTCTGTAGTTGAAGGAATGATTCCTTTATTAGGAGAGCCAGCAAAAAGTCTTTCTCTCACCTCAGGCTAACAAATTTGTCCAGCCAGAAGACGAATAGTTTTCTGCCACATCAATGAATCTCCACCTCCTGCCTTTTAATTCCCAAACTAGCAGTGGTGGCTCTTCCATCCCAAGGACCAGCCCATAGATTTCCACTGCTCTCCTCTCCTCTGCCTTCTGCACAGTGCAGATCAGGCACTGGAGCCATCTGTTCCTCCTCTTCCTCATCCAGCCACCTGCAGACCTGGGGGCTGTTGACTCTCCATCTGAGGGCTGACGGACAGCCCAGGGTCCGCCTCTGTCTCTCTTTCTGACAGCTCCATTCCCTCTTCCCCCTCAGAGCTCCAGGTTGCCTTGATGCTGACCATGACTCCCACGCCTTCTCCTTCTCCTCTGATTCGGCTGCTGGAGGAGCCAGCGACTGACAGGCCACAACACAAACTGCTAAGTGGATAGGAGCTGAAGCAAGGAACAGGAGTGCACCCCGTTCCTCAGTTCTCAAACCCAGGCTTTAACCACTGAGCCACCATGCCCACCATGACAGGGACACAACTAAGCAATTGGAGCAGAGATGCAGTAACTAAGAAATTACCTCTGTCCATTCATTGTTTTGTGCATCGTAAGATTCTACTGTGTTCAAATAGGTGTGTCCATCGTAGCCCCCGACAGCGTACAATCTATCTCCAAGCGTACAAATCCCAACAGCATCGCGAGGAACACTCAAAGGTGCGACAGTGGTCCAATTGTCAGTTTTGGGATCATACCTAAAACATTATAAGACAACGTTAACAGATGCTAAGAGTAAAAGAAGCTTCAACGAGAAGGACAAAATCTTTGTTTTTATGGATGTTACTAAATTAAGATATCCACTCCTTTATTGTATTGTAGACATAAGCTATGCAGGTTTTTCAAAGTATCTCAGATACATTAGCTCATGGTTCATGGCCGTAATTTTCCTATTGGCGTCATTTTGATAGTTTGTCTTAGAAAGTCACAGAAGAGAGATGGATGAAAACAAGAGCATTGTATCAGACCATCGTGACAGAAATACTTCTCTGTTAATATTTTTTTGTCTTTTAATGACCCCGTAATCCCTTGCATCGGGGTGGAATTGGGGCAACTGAATGGAGCTGAGTGTTTACTGGCCGGATGCCCTTCCTGTTGCCAATGTGGAGTTTTGTTCGGCAGATATAGTCTTCATTGTGCCCAGAGAGAGAAATATCTGCCTCTACCGAGGATTGAACTCACAGCCTCCTGATTGTGAGGCGAGAACTCCACCTCTAGGCCACCATACCACTCTAGTTCTCCTCTGTTAAATGGGAGATCATATTTATTTTATTTATTAAATTTATCCACCACCCATCTCCCGGTCATGCAACTGAACTAAAGATAGTTTAGAAATGAGCTGTATGGAAAGAAAAAAGGTTTTATTGTTATTAGAGTGTTTTAAAATCACAAACGTATGAATCTTGTTTTAAAATCACAAAAGTATAAATCCAGAGCACAGAAAATCCTCAATTTATAATCCCATTTGGGACCAAAATTTCAATTGTTAAGGTCAAGTTATGTAAGTATATGTAGATAGAAACTGACCAGGGAATACCAAGGTTGTAGATTCAAGTGAGAAATTAAAAAGAAGAAGAATACAGCAATAGAAAACTACTTCGGTACCTGTAACCCAAATAAAAATTGTAGGATACTGAGAGTATCCTTGAGTTACAACAGTTCATTTAGCGACCATTCAAAGTCACAATAGCGCTGGGAAATTGTGGCTTATGGCCATTTTTCACAGTCATGGCCTTTGCAGCTTCCCCATGGTCACAGGATCAAAATTCAGATGCGATGGCATCTCCTGCTGGCCAAGATGTATAAAAACCCATCCCTAAAATGTTGGAAATGTTTAACGGAATGAGGCACTTACTGCCACGTATGATGGAGCTGTAAAAAAGCACAAGAGTTTTGTCACAGGATTGGGAAATGGCTGGAAGAAATGATGGGATTTAAAATAGACCATAGACCAGAATGTTTTTTTATTGGGAATTATACCAAAAAACACAGTAAGGAAGATTTATATTTGATAATACATGTCATCACTGTGGCAAGAATGATATTTGCCCAGAAGTGGAAAAAGAAAGAAATTCCTAGTGAAGATGAAGTAACAAATAAAATTGTGATGTGCACTGAAATGGGTAGGCTAACACTAGAGATGAAAAATAAAGATGAATCGGAATATTATATAATTTGGAATAGATTTTAACTATTGGTGGATAGAAAAGAAGGGTTTAAGAATAAAAAAGAGCTGTTATGAGGACATCTGTGATCATGAGACGTAAATAATACCAAGAATGTTGGAAGATGTAAGTAAGGATGAGCAAATGTGTATGTGTGTGTGTGTGTGTGTACAAATGTATATAAGATTTATATTCTACTATATTTCACTAGAATGATAACAAAAAGTTATGTCAAAACAACTCCACCACATTCAATGTTTTTTAAATGTTATATTTAATTTTTTTAAAAAAAATTGATTCAGACTCTTGCCAATAGGTTCCTACTTATAACCGTTGCTGTATGTCACGTGATTCCCTTTTACAACCTTCTGAAAGCAATGTCTATGAGGTAGCCAGATTCACTTAACAACCGAATTACCCACTTATCAACTGCAGTGATTCACTTAACAATTGTGGCAAGAAAGGTTGTAAAAGGAATGCAAAACTCATTTCACACATGTCTCACTTAACAACAGGGATTTTGGGCTCAATATTGGTGGTAAGTCCAGGACTACCTGTACTTTTAATTTAACAGAGGAGAAAAAAAATAGGATATCCGGTTATTTCTTTTTCAACCACTAGAGGGCTTTCCAGACTAATAGCCTGGTTGTGATCTAGAATGTTGCTAGTTATATCCTATGATGCAAAATGCCAAAAATAGGGTAGCGATAGAAAAAGGTTCCTTGGGCTATTTGTACTTGAAAGATGCCTGATAAATGCCCAAGAACGTGCAAAAAATTCTCTTATTGAGCTGCTCTAAATCGTAATCGCATTTAGTGATATGAAGTAGCTTAGCAATGATTTGCTCACGTCACCCATTAATTTAACACGTTCGCATATTTTAATCATTTCCAATTTCGAAATCTTTCCGAACTCTTGAAAGGAGTGAGAACGTATTATAGCAAAGCCACTATTTAAAGTTAGCTAATCAAGACTTAAGTATAGGAGATAGAAGAGGACAATTTCGTTTCATATCGAACCATTGGCTTCGTTTTAAGGAATGATACATAAATTTGGTACAATGGGATAGTTTTTCTCATTTTCTACTCCCTTGAATGTTGCCCAGCTGTACCGTGGCTTCATTAAACTGTAGATTTATTTAGAAGTTTAATAAGGACAGTATTGGTTGAGATCTAACAGATACGTCGCGTAGCCCAATCCAGTGGTGGGAATTCAATTTTTTTTTTACTATCGGTTCTGTGGGCATAGCTTGGTGGGCATGGCTTGGTGGGTGTGGCAGGGGAAGGATACTGCAAAATCTCCATTCTCTCCCCACCCCCACTAACCTTCTTTCCAGCTCCGTTCTCCTGTGCAGGGCAGCAAAAGAAGACCCAGCCAATCAGCTGGGACTTGGGAGGTGGAGAATAGATTGGGGGCAGGACCAACTGGTTCTCTGAACTATTCAAAATTTCCTCTACCGGTTCGGGAGAACCCGTCAAAAACAGCTGAACGCCACCCCTGGCCCAATCCTAATTCTCACGCCTATATTTTTCTATCTTTAGCTCCTACCTTTCTACGCAATCAGAGAGCCGAGAACAGTGATTTGAAGCAGGGGCATCGTGGCCTCCCACGGCATAGAGAAACCCATTGTAGGTTGCCACACCGACTCCTCCGCGTCTTTTGGACATTGGGTTGCAGATGCTCCATTTGTTCGTGTGGGGATCAAAGCACTCCATGGATTTCAAGCAGGAGCTTCCATCACGCCCTCCAACTGCATACAACCTACGGCAATAAATTGCACGAGGACAACACAGATAAAGTTAATTGTAGGAAAAGAGAAGGCAGAACCGGAGGCAGAATTAAATGAATCATCAGCCCGGAATCCTTATGTTTCCACAAATGGTCTAAGTCCAATCCCTCTTGAAATCCATTGACCCCCCCTATATTGAACAATTTAATATTGAACTTTAGTTGACTAGATTTTTGTGTGTAGGGTTGACCAATACATCTTCTGAACTGGAACTTAATATATGGTCCAGATACTTTGCACCTGATATTAGCTGTACTAAAGATTACAATAGACCTTATTTTGATCTGGGATAGTCACAGATGGGCGGAGTTTCTGCTAGATGTCAGAGGGGACTCTGTTTCAGCCTGCCCAGAAATACCAACATTGAATTTGCAAAATTTTATATGCCAAAAGGTCTAACCATAATGCCTTACATTCAATATTTATCTCAAACATCCTTGTTTCCATATTATCCAGATGACACCTGTACTATAAAGTTAGGCAATTTGTTTTATGTTACAGGAGAATGGGCATTCAGGGGTCAATGAGGATCATAGATTTAACCTTCATGGATAAAAAAAATAGGTCTACAACATCAGATGTAAAAGTCAATGTTGGATTCCCTTCCTGTTTTATTAAACTCAAAACCTCCCAGTTCTCCAGACTGGTTTAGACTGAGGTGGGAGGAACATCTGATCCAGTGGATCCAAAGCTTCTACCCTTTCTACATCCTTGATGAAGCAAGGGAGGAGCACTTTAGTGAACTACTCGCTGTTCTACGCAAGAGGAAAGGGGAAATTTAGAAGAAGGGAACCCTAGAAAGAATACAGAAGAAATCTAAACATCTCCTTCTTGGCCAATAAGAATTTCCTCCATTTCACCTGGAGGAGTCCTTCAGCAGAATAATAAGCCCAATGAGGAAAAGATGCCATCAGAGGAGGACTGCTTCAAGGGATATTAAACATAAGAACAGCCTATGTATTGGTGATTAAAGAGAAAACTCGCCAGACATACTTGCTATTCAAAGCTGCAACTCCCACAGTACTCCTTGGAGTTGACATGCTTGCCACATAATTCCACTGCCGAGCCTGGGGGTCCCATCGTTCAACTGTGTTTAGGTAACTCCATCCATCATGGCCCCCAACAGCATACATGGGTCCTTCAAGCATTGCCACCCCTTAGGATGAAATGTGCACGACAGGTCAATAGATAATATTGGGTTTAGAAAAGCAGAGGACATTTGTTTAATATCTCTGCAGCCTTCATTGCCAACCAAGAAGTCATCAAGAAGTCTACACTACTGAACGACACGCATCTTAACTATTCGCCAGTTCCAAGTCAACATCTTAAAGGATTCTTAATTATTTGAATTGGCCAGTCAGCGATGACACCTGTAGTTCTCACGTGGTCCATTAAAAACAAGAAGAAATTTGACCGTCCACTCAAAAGAAGGAGTTGATACCATGAGGTGGTAGGGATAAGAAACACAAGGAGGGGTGAATCACCTTTTTATAAGGAGGTTAACTCTTGGAGCACTTCACTTATGAAATTATTTGGGTGACAGCTTCCTGACTTTCTGCTGTAAATATTATGAATTCTTGCTGAGTTCTGGTTTTTCTCGTAAGCTTACCTCAGTACATTCAGGCCTGCTTGAATAGCTGAAGCTTCTACCAAATCAGAAGTCAGAATCTTAAGCTTGATTGCTGTATGTCTCTCTGTCTCTGTCTCTCTCTTTCGCTGTCTCTCTCTCTCTCTCTATGTGTGTGTCTTTGTCTCTCTCTCTCTCTGTCTCTCTCTGTGTGTGTGTGTGTCTGTCTGTCTGTCTCCCTCTGTCTCTCTCTCTCTGTCTCTCTCTGTCTCTCTCTGTCTGTCTGTCTCCCTCTGTCTCTCTCTCTCTGTCTCTCTCTGTCTCTCTCTGTCTGTCTCTTTCTCTCTGTCTCTCTCTCTGTGTCTCTCTCTGTCTCTCTCCCTCTCCCTCTCTCTCTCTCTCGGTCTCTCTCTTTGTCTCTCTCTCTCTCTCTCTCTGTGTGTGTGTGTGTGTGTGTGTGTGTCTGTCTGTCTCTCTCTCTCTCTATTCTCTGTCTCTCTGTCTCTCTCTGTCTGTCTCTCTCTGTCTCTCTCTCTCTCTCTGTCTCTCTCTTTGTCTGTCTGTGTGTGTGTGTGTGTGTCTGTCTGTCTGTCTCTCTCTCTCTCTACTCTCTGTCTCTCTCTCTGTCTCTCTCTCTCTCACACACACACACACACACAAACACACACAGAGAGCTAGTCCTGAACTTAAAACCACAACTGGGATCAGAAATGGAAATGCCATATTTAAGCAGCTCGTTATGGGGAGAAGGGAGAAGGGAGAAAGGAGAAGGGAGAAGCTTTCATTTCTGCAGGTATTCCTTGATTTATGACCACAGCTGAGAACCAGAACTTCTGTTACTAAGTAAGGCAGTTATTAAATGAGTCACACTTGACTTTATGACCTTTTTTTGCTATGGTTGTTAAATAAATCCTATAGTTGTTAAGTGAATCGCATGGATTCCCTTAGCAAATCCAGTTTTCCCCATTAGCTTGTCGGGAGCCAACTGGGAAGGTCGCAAATGATGATCAGGCGAGACAGGATGTTACAACCATCACAAATACATGCCAGTTCCCAAGTGCCCAATATTTTTTGTCATGTGTCCCAAGGGAAGCTGCGATAATCATAAGTGTGAAAACCACTTTTTTCAGGGTCGTAACTTCGGCCATTAAATGAATGGTTGTAAGTGGAGTTCTACCTGCATATACCTCACTCTACTCCTTCATGAATCCCAGTTCTGTCCATCCTACCTAAGCCATGCCTATGGGTTGACATAGGGGGCATCACAGTCCAGGCTTTAGTTATCGGGTTGAAACATTCAACGGTATTGGATGTCCTCAAGCCATCCCTTCCTCCCACCACGTAGAGTTTGTTGTCGATCACAGCAACTCCAAACTGCAGCCGCCTTCCACTCATCGTCCCAATTTGTATCCAGCTGTTGGTTCTCAAGTCATATTTCTCAATGGTGGTGGTGCCTGTTGGAAATGCAAATAGAAAAGCAGCCTAAAAATCACATTCCTACGGCGATTCCTCAATCAGCTGATTTAATTTTAATGGCTTCATCATTAAAAGAATAGTGCATTATTTTAGTCTGCATATACAGGTAGTCCTTGACTGGGGTGCAGTGGCCTAGAGGTGGAGCTCTCGCCTCAGAATCAGGAAGCTGTGAGTTCTATCGTAGGTAGAAGCAGATATTTCTCTCTCCGAGCACGTCGAGAATATATCTGCTGAATATAACTCTGCATTGGCAACAGGGAGGGCATCCGGCCAGTCAACACTCAGCTCATTCAGTTGCCCAGACTCCACCCCGCAAGTGATTTTAGGGTCATTAAAAGAAGATGATACATGTAGTCCTTGACCTATGACCACAACTCAGCCCCAAATTGTGAAGGAAATCACTGCCGTGGTTAAGTTAGTCACCTGGTCGTTAAGTAAATCTGGCTTCTCCATTGACTTGGCTTCTCAGAAGATTGACACTTTTTCCTTTTAGTATTAAACTGACAATGGGCCACACGGTTTATGGATTGTAATTTTTAGTAAAGTTAGACCATGTATGATTGACACTGGATTTTTATCATAAGAGTCCATTTATAAAATCCATTGGATTATTGACATTGGATTTTATAATTGACATTGGATTTTATCACAGAGTTTAGCTGTAAAGCACCACACTTTTCAGTTTAGAAGTTGGTGATCCGGTCTCTCTTCAATAATGCTAATATTCATCTGGTGTAATAAAAAGAAATATGGTGGCAAAACACCACGCTTTAAATCAGTGCAAACATTCAATTTTACAATTATTGCGACAGCTTTCACATAATGCTGCTACTTGTTTCGAAAACTGCTTTTCTGGGGTTGTTTGCGGTAGGTTTGAGGTTAACATTTCTATAAGGGGAAATTGAAATTCAAATCTCCCCTTCTATCCCTCTTTTTCTCTATTACTCTCTCCCCCATTTCTCTCCCTCTCTCTCTCCCTCCTTCTCTCTCCCTCTTCTTCTCTCTTTCTCCTCCTCCTCCTCCTCTTCCTTGTGATCTCCACTTAACCATCACCTCTAAAAATGAAACATTGTGGGATCTTGGGATCCTAAAAGCCACATAATAGACCACATAATAGACCACATAATAGCATTCAGATCCCATATTTGATACAACCGGCTCAGTGTTATTATAGAAGTGAGCTTATTGATCCTGATCTGAGCTCCCAACAATCTTAGAAGCCACTTCATCAAACAGTAGAGGTTACCTTTAGTGGCATCCATGCCTCCCACAGCATAAAGTGAACCAACAGTGGATTTTCTGGGCTTTGTCCGTGGGCTTTGCATCATGGATCTCCTTTCCGGTAATAGGTGGTATTTCATGGCTTCCATTAAGAGTTTCTGGCACTGAAGATTAGTCGTGAACATGGGGCTGTTTTCCAGGTCAGCTAAAAGCTGAGGCAAACATAATCTTATTATTCGTACTGAAAGAATCAGGAATTCCTTTCTATCAGCAATTCCTTATTAACACAATTGTTTATCTTCCCCAAAAACTTTAACCTTAGACTGTCTACTATTGACCTCACCCCTTTCCTAAGAGGTCTGTAGGGGGCGTGCATAAGCGCACCAACGTGCCTACCGTCCCTGTCCTATTGTTTCTCTATTCTTTTATTTTTCTTATATATACCCATTTCATGTATTCACAACTATGTATACACTTATACTTATTATCTTGTAAATAATTGGCAAATCAAATAAATAAATAAATAAAATAAATAAATACTGGACTAGGAACCAGGTTGTGCAGCTAATGGACACTAGATGAGATAAATATAGGGCTCCCTAAATGCCTGATAAAGCCAAGTGAACACTCCATGTTGTGTTGTCCAGTTGCATTCTCTGGATCTATTGCAGTGCCAATGAACCCTATATAAAATACTAGAAATGGACCAAATATTTGTGGAACTCCATCACAGGGTGAGGTGGGGACCAAAAATAATAGGGTTTTAACAGCATGTCTGGACTATATGTGCATTTTTCTTAACCCAGTAGTAGGTCCTTCCTCAACGACTTCTTGAACAAAACATTTCAAAGACCTTCTATATCCACAGCATAGATTGATTGACCAACTGACTAAATTAATAGATTAACAGAGTTGGAAGTGACCTTGTAGGTCATCTAGTCCAACACACACACACCACCCAAGCAGGAGATCCTACACCATTTCTGAGGGGGTGACAGTCCAGTCTCTTCTTGAAAGTTTCCAGTGATGAAGCTTCCACAACTTCTGAAGGCAAGCTAACCTCAAGACATTTTTTTAGTCTTAGGAACCACATAGATAGAGTTTCTCCATGATGATTGATCCCTAACCTGTTGTAGGAGAAGGAGTGACGGAACCTTGGGTGAAGTTAAAACAGGAATCAGCCTAGAATCTCTATCTAGTAACAAATGGACTAAGTCTAACCTGCCTTGAATTCCATTGACCTTTATCTCACTTCAAGCAGGGGCTAACCATTAGTTGAGAAGATTTGTTATGTAGTCATAAATCAGTTTAGTTGGACCTTCACATGCAAAGCTATTTTTCAAAGCACCCGAAGACCAGACAAGGAATAACGGATGGAAACTGAACAAGGAGAGATTCAACCTAGAAATAAGGAGACATTTTCTGACAGTAAAAACAATCAACCCACGGAACAAAAGTCGCCTTTGGAAGTCGTGGGAGCTTCATCCCTGGAGGCTTTCAAGAAGAGATTGGGCTGCCATTTGTTGGAAATGGCGTAGGGTCTCCTGCTTGGGCGGGGGTTTGGACTAGATGACCTACAAGGTCCCTTCCAACTCTGTTAATCTGAAACCTGATCTTCTGCCCCTGTTCTTTCAATGCTGCCCTCATTTCCATTAAGTCCATCCACCTTGCTTCTAGTTGCCCTCTTCTCTTTCCTTCCACCTTTCCCAGCATAAGAAGCTATTCAGAGAATATTCCTAGCACACCACTCCGAACCTACCTCTGGGGAAAGTAAGGGCAACCTGATGTAAGACAGAAGCATTCCGAGCTCCTGTTGCCGATGGTCTAAATCATGCTGAACCCATATCATTAAGGCCTTGAAGATGGATTCCTCATCTGGGACGTTAATGTCATCGTTGGAAAGCAGCTTAGCAATTTCACCAGCAGGAAGTAACAGAAACTCCTGGTTCTTGATGACTTCGGTGAAGTGTTCCTTAAGAAGACAACAAAGAAAAGGTACTTAAATGCCACTTTTTAAAAACAAAAAATGCAACCCCTTAGAAAAGTCACAATGGCTTACAAGAGATATTCTCCTATCTTTCCCTCCCACAGTAAGGTTCTTCCAAAGTACTGCTGGATAAAATGACATATGTTCATAATTTAAGAACAGAAATAGAGAGTTGAAAGGGACTTTGAAGGTCTTCTAGTCCAACCCCTGATTGAGCAGGAGATCCTATACCATCCCAGACAAAGGTTGTCCAATCTTTTCTTTAAAAAGCTCCAGTGATGGAGCACCCACAACTTCTGAAAGCAAGCTGTTCCACTGATTAGTTGTTCACAATGTCAGAACTTTCTCCTTAGGAGTGGTGTTGGGGCCTAGAGGTGGTGCTCTCACCTCACAATCAGGAGGCTGTGAGTTCAATCCTAGGTAGAGGCAGATATTTCTCTCTCTGGGCACAATGAGAATGTATCTGCTGAACAAAACTCCGCATTGGTGATAGGAAGGGTATCTGGCCAGTAAACACTCTGCTAGCTCCATTCATTTGCCCATATTCCACCATGTAGGGGATTATGGAGGTCATTAAAAGAGGATGAGGACCGTCAGAAATTTCTCCTTACTTCTAGGTTGGATCTCTCTTTGATAATGTTCCATCCATTACTTCTTGTCTTGACCTCAGGTGTTTTGGAAAAGCAGCCTAGTTTGATTTCTCTTTAGAAATGCCAGTTGCCTGACATTTTGGATCCATAGTTAACTTAAGAAAAGAGTCGTCCCTTAGTCTTTCTTTTATAGGATTGCAATGCTAACTGTGAACTCACAAAAAAAGAAAAGATGTGTTAGGGATAACATTGTTTACCCTAACTGGTTTGGGTAAAAATAATAAATATGGTATCATGGTTTGTTAGTTAAAATGTGTGTAACTTTAACTGCAAGAATGTAATTAAGGGTGTGGTTGTAAAAGCACTATATAAGAAGCGAGGCAATTGCAGCTCGCTCTCTCTGGCTTACTGATCCCTAATTACTGGATGGATTGATGACTACGTTCTTGCTGGAACAGGGAAAGAAAAAGGAGTGTTGATTTTTCTCAACGGCGAGAAGATAAAGATTGGACTGATTTATTGTAAGTGAACTGACATTGGCTATTCAACACGGACTTTGCAAATAGAGTATCCCCGACAAGACTTGACTGAAATGATATATGACTAATGGACCGTTTATTTGACTATGCTATAATTCTTAAATGGAATAAACTATATTTTTGATAGCACAAGCGTATCTGTATTTTTACTGCGTGTTAACTAGAAAACTTATCTCACACATTTACCTGTCTTCCTATCTGACTTCGCTGCACGTTCTGTTTAGTTTGTTTTCCTTAACACCCGTTGGGGAATCCAGGCTTAACAAGATGTAAGAGTTATCTGCATATTAAGGCAGTGGCTTGCTAGCAGCATTTTAATCCTGCACTGTTTTCTTAAGTGCCCCGACTTGCTGAGTACGCATTTTCTTTTTTAAAAAAAATGCAAGAAAAGGGCCTTTGGTGGGAGTGACAAAAGAGGTGATGGCCTCATACCTTCCTGCCCTCTCGTGATGTTTTCCAAAAAAAGAAAAAAAAAGGAGCCAGGGAAGAATTGTTGCAAACTTCAAAAATAGCCCTGGTTGTTTATGGGAAGTGATTTTATCTAGTGAAACCAGCAGGAAACAGTTAAGAGACCAGATCAGTAGTAAAAGTTTTAAAGAGGAATGGAAACCTCTTGCTGGAGTCTCTGAGCTTGGATACCATCTGAACCTGTTTGCTCCTGGCCCAGCCCCTCTTTTCTAATATCTGTGGGGCATCCACAAAGAAGTTTAGTTTAATCTCTAGTTTAAAGAAAAGTACGACTAGGGATGACATTGATAGCAGCGTTCCAATATCTCAGGGGCTGCCCCAAAGAAGAGGGAGTCAAGCTATTCTCCAAAGCAACTAAAGGCAAGACAAGAAGCAATGGGTGGAAACTAATCAAGGAGAGAAGCAACTTAGAACTAAGGAGAGATTTCCTGACGATGAGAATCGTGGGCGCTCCATCACTGGAGGTATTAAGAAGAGACTAGGTAAAGGTAGTAAAGGTTCCTCTCGCACATACATGCTAGTCGTTTCTGGCTCTAGGGGGCGGTATTCATCTCCATTCCAAAGCCAAAGAAGAGCCAGCGCTGTCCAAAGATGTCTCCGTGGTCATGTGGCCGGCAGGACTAAATGCCGAAGGCACATGGAACGCTGTTACCTTCCCACCAAAGGGGGGTCCCTATTTTTCATTTGCATTTTTACCTGCTTTCGAACTGCTAGGTTGTCAGAAGCTGGGACAAGTAAGGGGAGCTCACTCCGTTATGCGGTGCTAGGGATTCAACCACCGAACTGCCGACCTTTCTGATCGACAAGCTCAGCGTCTTAGCCACTGAGCCACCGTGTCCCTCAAGAAAAAACTATCTGAATGGGAACAGATTCTCCTGATTGAGCAGGAGGCTGGACTAGTAGATCCCCAAAGGTCCCTTCCAGCTCTATTCTATTCTAAGAACAATTAATGAGTGGAACAACTTGCCTCCAGAAATCTTCCAACACTGGGAGATTTTAAGAAGAGACTGATTGTCTGAAATGATATAGGGTTTCCTGTCTGGATAGGGGATTGGATTAGAAGACCTCCAAGGTTCCTTCCAATTCTGCTATTCCCTTATTCTTATCTTCTCTTATCTTCTTATTCCTCTTCCAACGCAGCCCTCACTACAGTGTCTTGTCAAGCAGCGGATGTTGGGGACTGAGTTCCCATCCTTACCGGGGATGGTATTCAGCCGGTTCAGATTGGTTCTTGCGCCCAGGTAGGGGACTGGCCCCGTCCACCTGCCCCCGATCTTACCTCTCACCTCTCCTATATTGTGTTGTTTTTCAGCGCAGCTGATTCACGCAGCAGAACGGATTGCCACGCCTCAGCTGAGCTAAGAAACAGCTGGTGGTCGGTGTTGCTGTTATCTGTGTGCACGCAAATTGAACATTCGCCGTGCCCTGGGGAAGGTAAGAAACAGCTGATGGTCGCTATTTGTCCCATTTGTGCGCATGCAAAGCAGTGGGTAGGAGACAGAAAAGTTTGGCCAAGTCTTCTTCTCCTCCTTCTCCGTATTTTGTCAGCCCAAGGGCAGAGCAAGTGGGGGAAGGTATATACGTAGGCAATCACCCTGTCTCTGCAGCATCGGTCATGTGACTGAGTGGGTGTGGCCAAATCTAATCCTACGTAGCTTTTTCTCTTGTAATATCACACTATTAGCTAGAGCATACAAAATATTTGCTAGACCAATACTTGAATACAGCTCATCAGTCTGGAACCCGTATTACGTATCTGATATTAACACAGTTGAGAAAGTCCAGAAATATTTCACAAGAAGAGTTCTCCACTCCTCTACTCGTTTCAGAATACCTTATGCCACCAGACTTGAAATTCTAGACCTAGAAAACCTAGAACTATGCCGCCTTCGGTCCGATCTAAGTATAGTATATAAAATTATATATTGCAATGTGCTACCTGTCAATGAATACCTCAGCTTCAACCATACCAATACAAGAGCACACAATAGATACAAACTCACACCAAACTTGATTGCAGGAAATACGACTTCGGCAACAGAGTGGTCAACATCTGGAATACTCTACCCGACTCTGTGGTTTCTTCCCCAAACCTAAAAAACTTTAACCTTAGACTGTCTACTATTGACCTCACCCCTTTCCTAAGAGGTCTGTAGGAGGCGTGCATAAGCGTACCAACATGCCTACCATCCCTGTCCTATTGTTTCCTTTATTTTTCTTATATGTACCCATTTCATGTATTCATAACTATGTTATACTTATACCTGTTATCTTATAATCGCTTGACAAAATAAATAAAATAAAAATAAATAAAATAAATAAAATCGACATCACTCACAGCAAGGTGCCACCTGGCCATGACTGACGTCAAGTTGGCCATGCCCACCCAGTCACATGACCACCAAGCCACACCCACAGAACTTGTGGTGATAAATTTTGAATCCCAGTACTGATCCTACCATAGTGTAGACATGGGCCACTTGCAAGAGTTTCGAGCATCCTTGAGCATCTCCAAAAGACCGGATTCCCAAGCAGTTTGAAGGATGAAGTTGCTTCATGAGAAAATTGCAGCAGACCTCAATGACTGGTGAAAGTTGGAGAAGACAAGCCGCAGCCAACAAGCTCTCAATGGTGTCTTCTTTTAGCTCCAGCATGCCTGTGTGGTTCAATTAAAAGAAAGAGAGGGCGGGGGAGGGAGGGAGGGAGGGAGGGAGGGAGGGAGGGGGAGAGAGAGAGAGAGAGAGAATATGAATAACATCTTTTTTTTAAAATGCCTTCTGGTCTTGAGAAGTGTGGAAGGTCAGGAGATATGGGGATAACTTACACTGAAGGTTTAGTTTAGTCTGGAAATCAATGGCTAAGTTTGCATGGTGTTCTCAATCAGATCAACAATATTTGCCCAGCCAGCTAAGGTTGGATTGTGCAATCTTGACAAAATCATTAATGCATTTTTCAGCAATCCATTTACTCTGTCGTGACCTCCAGTATTAAGCTAACAACTTTATTTGATGTGTCAAATATTTACTGAATGACTCGTCCTGGCTGATGTGCCAAAGCTAAGCTATGTCAGCTTTGGGATGTCTTGGGTTGTGTTTTTGAGCTTCATATGAAAATGGTTTGTGAACCCAACTAGCTGAAGTATAGTGAAGATCTTCATTGAAACATGCCTACTCAAGAAGGTTGCTAGGGGAAATGATTGCACAATGAAGGTAGAACATAGAAACTCCCTTAATTTATAAGAACTCTGCTTTCCACCCAAAAAAAATCCCATCAAATTATTGATTTTATAACTAGAAGAATAATGCCCCAAGATAATGTTGCAGGGCCCAATCTGTGTCGGTCATTGGGACCAGAAGTTTAATCTTCCAAGCTTTTGAACTTGTGCTGGAGCCCATTCTGTGTCTGCTAGAGGTATGCAGTCTACTAGAAAGAGATTCTCTGTCATGGCCCTGTCGGAGTCTGAATCTGAGGAGGAAGATGAACAGCTGACAGGGAGTGAGAGTGTGGCTCCAGTGGCTGTGGAAGAAACTGGGGAAGGGCAAAGTCCGGCTGGCCAGAGCAGGGGAAAGGTAGAGCAAGGCAGAGGGAATTCAGAGGAAGACCCAGGCCCACCCCCTCTTCATCTTAGGGCACGCGGGGAGGAACAGAAAAGAGAGCAATGTGGGTTGCATGGCTTATGGGGGAGGAAAGGGCCCTGATTCCCTTCATTAGCTGCAGCTTTGAACACAGTGTATAAAAAAAAGGCAAACTGTGTGCAGCAAGCTGTTGGGAGCAAATGTGACTTTATCTTGTATTGTTGTGGCTTATCTGTGCTCCTGGCGTCTTTCCAACCGTGTGAATTTTGCCATGCTTTCAAGTCTGAAATTCCTTCTCCTGCCCTGTCACACTAATTACTTCAGTCTGGTTTGTTTGAATTTTAATTTACAGTTTGTGTGTACCTTGTTTTGGACTGAATTTTCTACAGTGAAAGGCTGTTCCTGGGAGAGTTTTTCTCCAGCCAAAGGTAACCTGGACGTTGGGTGCAAAGTTGGAGATAATAAAGGGACTCTTATTGCTTATTTGACTGCGTTGCCTTTGTGCCACACCCTGGGTCATCACATTCCCTGAGGATGAGCTCCAGCATTAATCTGAAAGGTTCAGAAGACTAAACTTCTGGTCTTGGTGACCAACCCAGATTGGATCCTGGAAAAATAGTTCTTCTGCCAATAGATCAAGTGAGAAAGTGAGGAGGTGACTGGAGGGGGAATTCAGAGAAATGTTTGGCTCCATAACCCTTCTAAGCAAGGACCCACTTGGGAATGACTACATATGGAAGCTAGTTGAGAACTTACCTGTGTAGGCATAGAGCACAAGGTCCTTCAGGGCATCAGGGTCTACGCCTTCCATTTTGACTTCCTCTTGTTTTGCTTCGCGGACATCATTGGTGAACATTGCCGCAAAATAATCAGACACGGCACTCAGAACCAGCCTGATCCCCAAAGACAAAAAGAAATAGTAAGAGCGACAGTGGCGCAGTGGTTAGAATGCAGTATTGCAGACCAACTCTGCCAGCTGTCAACGGTTCGATCCTGACCGACTCAAAGTTGACTCAGTCTTCTATCTTTCCAAGGTCAGTAAATTGAGGGCCCAGATTGTTGGGGGCAATATGCTGGTTCTATAAACCACTTAGAGAGGGCTGTAAAAGCACTGTGAAGTGATACATAAGTCGAATTGCTATTGATATTTCTATCTGTTCTTAATACTGCCAGAAGCAATTGTTTTCATCCTTTGAGAGTTTGTTTTGCTTTAAAACGTTTAACATTCAAATGATGTGTCGGTGGAGTGATGCTTACCTGACCCACCATCAGTATTCAATTTCCCTGAAGTCTAGAGAAAACAGTGAATCGGTATTCAATATTTTTTTTTATTTTTTTCTGGAGAAATGTTTTGCTTTCCAGACAAAGAGGAATCCCTTTGCAAACAAGATACCTAGTTAGATATTCTAAATATTCAAACTCTCCCTATTTGGAAGTTGATGGACATCATCACCAAAGCAAACCATTATTGCCTTTGCACACTTACTTTATGGCTTGTGGGTCTAACTTTCATTTTGTAAATGACATTTGGGTCATTTATTACCCTTTGGGAAGCTAGTTACACAGACAGGTTTTATAGCATGGGGATTTCAAAAGAGTCAGCTGGATTAGTTGCGATTTAGTTACAAAAGGCAGAAGGCAGGCAAGCCAATGATACGGTGACAAAATAGGTTTTCTTTGTGCTTCTAATGGCTTTTAAAGTTATGTCTCCAGTCCTTACGGTTCTTATTTTAGAACACTATAATAAGATTAATTCCAATGTTCTTTGATCTCACTGCACAAAATATCATATATTCTTGTTCACCACCTAGGCATACCTTTGACGAGATGGGTGGCTATATAAATTTCAGATAGATTAGATGATAGATAGATAGATATAATGGATGGATGGATGGATGGATGGATGGATGGATGGATGGATGGATAGATAGATGATAGATAGATAGATAGATAGATAGATAGATAGATAGATAGATAGATAGACAGACAGACAGACAGACAGACAGACAGACAGGCAATGGATAGTTAAAGAGAGAGATAAAGATGGATAGAAAGATATAAATGGATAGATGTACATAGATGATAGATAAATGATAGATAGATAGATAGATAGATAGATAGATAGATAGATAGATAGAGATGGAGAGAGAGAGAGATGGATAGAAAGATATAAATGGATAGATATAGATGAATACATAGATGATAGATAAATGATAGAGGTAGATAGGTTAGAGAGAGCTGTGTGTGTTTGAGAGAGAGAGGTGTGTGGTGTGTGTGTGTGTGTGTGTGTGTGAGAGAGAGAGAGAGAGAGAGAGAGAGAGAGAGGGAGGGAGGGAGGGAGGAAGATGAGAGAGGGAAGGCGAGCTGTCTGAGGAGATTCATGTACAATAGGTAGAACACAATAAAGTGTTTGAAGAACTTGAACCTTTCACGTGTGGATCTAGTTGCTTACGCTTGGCAGAATGTGACCCTAACCAGACCTTGTGAGATTTGCAGTGCCTCTCATCCATTTCCAAAACTTGCACGGCAATCTTAATTCCATATTATCCAGGCTGATCGAGGTTTCCTCTGAGATATATGAAAAGAACGGGGACAAAAAAGGTGGTACCTGTGAGCAGGGATCTTGTGGTCTCCAGCAAGGAGAAGGACATCGCACAGCTGCTTCTGCTGCAGGTAGTTCTCCATCTTACGGAAGGTTTGCTCGGCATGGTTTGCAGAGTGGAAATAATTATCAGCTCCATTACTGCTCACTCCCATAGAAGAGGAGGAGGAGCTGCTCACCGATAGCCTGTTAGCGAGAAAATGAACTGCTTTAAACAAGGTAATTGCTGCTTATGGAAATTACCACATTCAGAGACCCAGGAGGTAGATTAATGACGTTCCCCTAGAATTAATTTTTTATTTGGAATCATACACTAGGATAGGTACCAAGGGACAGCTTCTTTCTTCCCACTGACATTTAAGAGGTAACAGGGACCCCTGCAAAACTATTTACAGAAGATAAATAATAATAGCCAGGAAAACAATTCAGCAAGCCAGGGACCCACAAGGAGCCCAGTGAGGTTCCAGGCTGCTATTTCTAAGGTTTTGTACACAGGCGGCCATTTTTTTTTTCAAAGTCTGAAATGGCTCCGGCCAGAAATATTGAATCAACTTTGGGTTTCATAACCTGCATTTCCATTAAGCCTATTTATGAGTTAGCCATGATGGATTGGGGTTAACAACAGGTGGAAAACATAATCCAGGTATAGTGCAAAAGACCATCATCTACAGAAAACCGAAGGCATTTGCTCCAGTCAGCTGGGACTCCAACTCTCTCTCTCTATTCAATCAGAATGAGTTACCTACAGCTCAGGTCTCTAAATGAGCATTAAAGGAATCTCGCTCTGTATCACCTAATGTCCACCTACTTTTCAGATGAAGCTGCCAACACTCAGACCTAAGACAGAATAATAGAGTTGGAAGGGACCTTGGAGGTCTTCTAGTCCAACCCCCTGCTTAGGCAGGAAACCCTACACCACTTCAGACAAATGGTTGTCCAATCTCTTCTTAGAAGCTTCCAGTGTTGGAGCATTCACAACTTCTGGAGGCCAGCTTTTCCACTGACTAATTGTTCTTAATTTCAGGAAATTTCTCCTTAGTTCTAGGTTGCTTCCCTCCTTGATGAGTTTCCATCCGTTGCTTCTTGTCCTGTCTCCAGGTGTTTTGGAGAATAGGTTGACCCCTCCCCCCCTCTTCTTTATGGCAGTCCCTCAAATATTGGAACACTGCTATCATGTCACCCTTATTTCATTTGCAAAGAATGTTGCAAATTAACTGGCAGTGCATTTTGGGTTGCAGAAAATGTGAATGGGTGCAGAATTGGACCAAAGTATTCTGAAAGTAGCCATTATAATCTTGCTGGTGTAATTGTTTTTAATGGGGGCGTGGTGGCTCAGTGGCTAAGATGCTGAGCTTGTCGGTCAGAAAGGTCGGCAGTTTGGCGGTTCAAATCCCTAGCACCACATCATGGAGTGAGCTCCCGTTACTTGTCCCAGCTTCTGCCAACCTAGCAGTTCGAAAGCACGTACAAAATGCAAGTAGAAAAATAGGGGCCACTTTGGTGGGAAGGTAACAGTGTTCCATGTGCCTTTGACATTTAGTCATGCCGACCACATCACCATGGAGACATCTTTGGACAACACTGGCTCTTCTGCTTTGTAACAGAGATGAGCACTTCCCCCTAGAGCCGAAAACAACTAGCACATATGTGCGAGGGGAACCTTTACATTTTACCTATAATTGTTTTTAAAATGAAGACAGAATCAAGATACAGCTCCATCTTGAAGTTGTAGATTTCACCGTACTCCAAGTTGAATATTTATTATGGCATGATCAGGAATTTTATCTGGAAATCATGTCTCGTGCATAGCATTTGCTTCGGCACATTTTGCAGTTTCCTGCTCTTATTTCCATGCCTGGAATAGCTTTGTCTTTACTATTGATGGACACAAAGTACATATTGTAGTAACATTCATTGTCCTCGCCTATATACACAGTTTTCTTTCCCTCAAATAAAGAAGATTGAAGTTCTTGGACTTTGGGGCCATCACTTCCATGGGCCTCAAAGAGAAGAAATGGAAACGACAGAGGCTGTCCCTCTGTTAGGTCATGCCCATTCTTGATATATCCCTTCCTGCATCATCTTCTCAACATCTTCTCAAGTTTCATCTTTCTCACCCACAACCCAATTATTTCTCAACACAGCACCTTCTTGAGAGTTCAAACAACAAGCATTCTTAACAAAAGCCTGTTCTTCTATTATTTATATTCCTATCAAAGCCAGAGACATGGAACCGGTGAAAGAATCAGCCGCACCCACCAAGCCGTGCCTACCAAGCCATGCCCACAGAACTGGTAATAAAAAAAATTGAATACCACCGCTGGATTTGGGCATGTGTAGACAAAAGCTTGCAGAATTTTAACAAGGCCTCTTGGAGAGTCCAGGGGAATCTCCTGAAAGAATCAACTGACATATACTACAGATCCCCATTATATTCTTTAAGATATATCCTTTCTCGGAAAGGTAATTCTGATGAAGTGTTTGAAAGGATTGGATAATTGTGACCTGATAAAGAACATCTCATTATGCAACCAAATATCTCAGGAGACATGCCTCCACATACATGATGATGAATTAAATTGTCCTAGTGCTGTGCAGCTCGAATAATCTGCTTGGCTTGTCAGGTAAATAACCAATTATGGTTTGATTAGTTGCCCAAGTCAGAAGGCTGCAAAATGCAGAAGAATGATTGCAACTTGGGACCCATTGCACCAATCCAGAAGAGAAGGGCTGGGGCCTGAAAAAAAAATCTGATTTATTTGCAATTGCTGTGAGCTACTGATCTAATTATGCAAGATTCAGTAATTGTTCACCCAGCTGCTCTATTATAATTGCTTTTGCAATTAATCTTCTTTATTTTTGTAATTGCTTATACATTTTAATATCTGATTTAGGTAAGAATGATTACAAGAAAATGACTTGCCAAATAAATGGCAAAGATGAAGACCGGGAGACTGGTTTGCATAGGAAAATGCATTTCTATATTTGCTTGGATTCTAAGTCTGCTTTTCAACTAAGAAAGATCCTTTTTTTATACACAGCGAGATGGATTTTCTAAGAAAAATCATGCCCGCTTAAGTTTGATTTCAGAATATAATCTTTCACCCATTTAATTCTAAGCAAGCTGCAATGAACTCTCTGGGATCTGAAGACAAGTTGACAGATTTACTGTATTTTTTAGTAGAATTTGGAATTTACTAACACATTTAGCACATATTCCCACTTGAACCCTTCGCTACAGACTTCTGGTTGTACATACATGGAGTGCTACTTGCATTCATGTACTTAGCGTGTATAGCAGTGGTGGGATTCAATTTTGTTTTACTATTGGTTCTGTGGGTGTGGCTTGGTGGGCATGGCAGGGGAAGGATACTGTAAAATCTTCAGTCAGAGGTGGGTATTTGCCAGTTCTCCGAACTACTCAAAATTTCCACTACTGGTTCTCCAGAACTGGTCAGAACCTGCTGAATACCACCTCTGATGTATAGCTAAAGTTTCATCATGCAAATATCATCTTCATCATATTAAGAGCCTCAGAAAAAAATTGTTGTGGGCACTGGTAATTGAGCACTAACCAGAGAAGACGTCAAGAACATGTGCAGCTTGATGCACACCTCCAAAGTAATGTGTCATTTTGCATGAGCTGTCAGAAAGGCCCACCATAATTAGAAACGGTGGTTTCCGTAGAAACAGCCTCATTGGAGAAGCAACTTGCTGTCCTGATAATACCTTTCAGGCTGTTCTTTTGATTATGCTGAAGACTGGATTTGCTGTCAAAAGATGACATTATGGAAGTGAGAGAAGAGAAGAATGCCAAATGTAGCAGGGAATTGAGAGAGAGAGAGAGAGAGAGAGAGAGAGAGAGAGAGAGAGAGAGAGAGAGAGAGAGAGAGAGAGAGAGAGAGAGAGAGGCAGAATGAGAGAGAGAGAGAGAGAGAGAGAGAGAGAGAGAGAGAGAGAGAGAGGGAGGGGGAGAGGGGGAGAGAGAGAGAGAGAGAGAGAGAGAGAGAGAGAGAGAGAGAGAGAGAGAGAGAGAGAGAAACATAAAGGCAAGAAGAAAATACTTCTCTGTAGTGTAAACCAAATCTTGGTTAGATGTACACATTAAGTTCAGAGAATCATCATCAAGTTTGTAACAAGGATAGGACCCATCCCTGCCAAATCTTAAGATTGATTGAGTCTTCATTGATTGATTGATTGATTAAGTCTTTGTTGATTGATTGAGTCTTCAGATTAAGATCTGAACATGCTGCAAGAGCTAATCTAATAATAAGCTAATAGTAGAACGTCACCAGTTCACCCTCTGTTTATATGTTGTAAAGTTTTAGTCCTACAGAAGTTGGACTACAGAATTTGTCAGGCTGCTCTGAAAACTTAATGCAAAGGAATATCTCACCATATGGAAAAAAAATCTCAGAATAATCCTTTTCTCTCACTCGTGTATTTTAGCAATTCATCAGCTTGCATTCTCTCTTCAGATCTTGATTATAAAAGATACTGACAGAAATTAATAGGCATTGGCAGCTTTGAACACTGGTGAACAGAAGGAGAGATGCCTAAATCTACACTTGAAGTGTGATTTTATTTGGGATAAGAAAAAAACAGAAGGCGGCTGCAGGCTTGAGATGAAATGAAAAGACTGGACATTCTGTGCTGATCTGAAGGCTGGTCTCATTTCTGTTAGGAAATTTGAGTTTGGATGCAATGTTTGTTGCTAAAAATGTATAGATAAGTGACGCAGATATGTAGAGAATCAAAACACAATTATCCTCCAGTACTATTTTTTTTCAACTTTCCATTTTATTGCATTATCAACACATCCTCTTTCCTCTCCATTCCTGATTCTATCCTTTCCTTTTTCCTTTCCTTTCCTTTCCTTTCCTTTCCCTTTTATATCCTTTCCTTTCCTTTTTCCTTTCCTTTCCTTTCCCTTTTCTATCCTTTCCTTTCCTTTCTCCCTTTCTTCCCTTCCCTTCCCTTCCTCTTCCCAAATCTTGTATAACCTTAATAATGGCTAAATGTCAAGAGTCAGAAAAAAATAATAGTATATGTGAATCCAGATATATATTTTACCTTTTCCTTATTTTTATACCACTATTTTAATATTTATGCTATGATTATTATTTCATGAGTTT